TCATCTTAACTATAAAAATATATTTTTTTTAGTTATAAGTTCTTTTTTATAGTTCTTAAATAATAATATTTTATTTTTAAAGACATTAGACAATAAAAAGAAATTAATAATAACTTATTATCTCTTTCAGTAACTTCTACAATTTGTCTATATCAATTCAATTTATACCTATGCACTTTTTGTTCTATTTAATTTGTTTTTGATAATAGTCTAAATAAACGTGTTCATGAATATATTGCTACAATTAAATTTACTGATAAAAAAAGAAAACCTTGGGACATTTTTTACATCAATTTCATGTTAAGTTTATTGCCTAAAGGTTATTTTTGTTTTTTCTTTTTGAAGTGTCAAATTAATTTAAAAAAAACTTGAAAAATTAAACAAAGAAAGATCATTTTGTACATCTTCTTAGGTGTTTCATTTTCTTTGTTTGAAAAGTAAGTTGGAAGTACCAGATACCTCTCTTAAGAAAGATGTTAAGAAAGCGCTTAAGTACTTTACATAATCTTTTTTCTGTATTTTGATTATAACTACAACAGTATAGTTAATTATCAATATAAGTATGCTTCAATGAAGTATAAATGAATTGAAAATAGAAACATTAAATATAAATAATTTCTAGTTTTAATAGACATCTATGAGACTCAAATTCTTATCTTCTATTAGTTTTTTAAACGCTATTATTTTTTATTTTCATAATAAATGTCTTTTTTAAATTAATAAATTCATATTGGAATAAAATTTGAAGAAGAAAAAAATTCTCTAATACATTAACTGTATTTTTGTTAAATTTTACTGATAATTTAACTGTTAAATGTGTACGACTTTTGGGTTGATTCTTCACATTGAATGGGTTATTCATATAAATTTACTATGACAAATAACATAAATTAAAACTATTTTTGTTAAAGTCATTAATAAAAAGAAAAAGAAAATTATATAACTTCAAATAAAGTAAATATGATACAATATTACTACTAGTAAAAGTATTACCTACAAACAAAATAGTGTTTATTTTTTTGGTTTTATGATAGATAATTTATGTAAATTTCATAGAACAATTTTTGAGGTTAATTATTAAATAACAAATTTCAACATAGAATTTTTTTATAAAAATTTTCAAAAAAAAAATAAAAAAAAATTAAGAAAAGTTCTTGTTTTTTAGTCATGCAAGACCTTATGAATGCTCTTCAAGCAAATGGTAATGAAACTATAGACAGAATAAGAAAAATTGAAGAGCGATTAGACTCACAACAACAAATTATTGAAAAATTAACATTAGAGAATAGAAATCTTCATCATCTTTTATTTTCCATTATTAAAACAAGACTACTTGAAATAGATGATGTTTATGATGATGACATTGATTCTCAATACATAGAAAAAATGATTGGTGATAGAAATCAAAGTCTTTCTATGTTTGGTATTTCTAGTTTTAATTATATTAACGAAGTAAGAAAAGTAGATAAACCACTTAAACCAATAACACCAGAAATACTTATTGCATGTTATAAACTAACAGAAAATGAAAGTGAAAAAACAAGTATTTTATGTGCAATTTCAAAAAATACTAAATTAGAATATTCAACTTCATTATGTGATATTCTTGTTTCACATATTGGAGATTCTAATGAAGTAAATGAAGATTTAGCAATAGATGCTTTTTGTTCAATGAAATGTAAATATAAAAATGAACAATTAATTCTTAATTTATGTCAGTGTTTAATTGAAACACCAAATGATAATCTAACAAAGAAAATGAAATTGGCATATTTAATATTAAGATATTCTGAAATAGAAGACCATTATATAAGAAAAGCTATGTTTACATCAGGAATTATTGAATATATTTGTGAAGATTATTTATCACTTCAACAATGTGGAAGTCTTGGAGTATTACTTTTAGTAATTAAAAATTTATTAGATGACCAAAGTTATACTGATTTTATTCCTTTTGAATGTGTAGAAGCTATTATTCATTCTCCTTTATGGTATGAAGATTTTCAAGATAACCAATGGAAACAATTAACTCATTTTGAACCTTTTTCATTACTAAAAAATCTTTGTTCATCTCCTATTCAAAGGAATGTTATTAGTAGAAGTGGATTACTTGAAGATATTTTTGAACACATAGACGTAGATAATAAAGATTGTCTTCTTATTTTATTAGAATTAAATAAAATCTGTCCTCAAGATGTTGTTGATTATACTGAAATTATAAAAGAAGCAATGAAAGACCATCAAGAAGATAAGGAATACCTTCAAATAGCAACTCATCTCCTTTGTGCAATTGCATTATCTCAATCTTCAACTTCAAGACAATATCATCTTGAAACTCAAAAATAATATCACAATTAAATTTTAAGTATAAAAATACTTTTTTCTAATTCAAATTAATCTAATTTTATCATATTTATTATTCTTTTTAATTCTTTATTAAATTAAACTATTTAATATTATAAAAAATAATTTAAACTTTT